GGAACACAACTTGGAAATAGAAATACCATTTGATTCAGCAATTCCACTACTAGAAATATATCCTAAAGAAACCAGAGCCACAATTCAAACAGATATATACACGCATATTCATTACTGTGTTAGTCACAATAGCAAAGAGATGGAAACAACCCCAGTGCTCATCAACAAATGAATGGACAGAAAAACGATAGTACATTCACACAATGAAATATTACACAACATTGAAAAAATAATGAACTCATAAAACAATACACAACATGGGGAAGCCTGGAGGACATTTTGCTGAAGGAAATATCTCAGTCACAAAAGGACAAATATTGCATAATACCACTGTTATAAAATAGGACAGACATGTAGAAGTTCTAAATAGAATGGGGAAAGAGTGGAGAGATAATGAACACTGCATTAGAACAGATGAGGGGAAGAACTGTCCAAAAGGAATATATAATTAGGCATTATATGTATAATAACAATCTGGAACAAGACGTACATTGTGAGGTGGGCTGGGTAAAGGAGGAGAGGGATAAAATGGGCAAGAATGAAAAGAAAGAAAGTTTTTTTTTCTAAAAAAAAAAAGAAGATTGAAGGAAAACACACATTCACTGTATCATAAAGAATTGCTTGACACTGAAAAATTTCTGTCATTATCAAATAAACAAGAGTCAATGGGAATGAAAGAATAAGTTGAAGCTGCACTAAAGACATTGGAAAATAAAATAAAATAAAGTCACAGGAATTGACAGAATACCAACGGACTTGCTTCAATTATCAGATGCAATCCTGTATGTGCTCATTTGTCTATGCCAGAAAATCTGGAGCAGAGCTACTTGGCTGAATGGCTTGAAGAAATCCATATTTGTTCCAATTCCCAAGAAAAGCAATCCAACAGAATGTGGAAATTTTCAAACAATATCATGAATATCACATGTAAGAAAACTATTGCTGAAGATCATCCAAAAGGGCTAGAACAATTGTCAGAGAAATACCAAAATTTCAAGTTGTGTTTAGAAGAGTCCAAAGCACCAGGGATATCATTGCTGAGGTCAGATGGATACTGGCTAAAAGCAGAGAATACTAAAACAAAATAATATTTTGTTTTATTGATTATCCACAAAGACTGTGTGGATCGTACAAATGATGACTAAAAATGAGATGAATGGAAATCCCCAAACCTGTAATTATACTCACACAAAATTTATACCTAGATCAAGAAACTATTGTCCAAACAACAAGGGAATATTCCATTATTTAAAATCAGGCAAGATGTGCATCTGGGCTGTACCCTTTCTCCATACCTATATAATTCTTAAACCAATCAAATAATTCAAGAAGCCGGACTCTATTTGGAAGAATGGGGCATCAGAATCAATAATCTGTGTTATGCAGATAATACTACCTTGTTTGGTGAAATTGAGAAGGACTTCAAACTCTTGCTGTAGAAGATAAGACTACAACTTTCAACAGGAGTTGCATCAAAGCTTCAAGAAGACAAAATCTTCACCACTGAATCTATACACAGTCTCATGATAGATGGAGAAAAGGGGGAAACTGTCAATTATTTCATCTTACTTAGATCCATAATAAACACCTTTGGTACAAGCAGTCAGAAGATCAGGAGATGTATTCCATTGGGTAAATCCACTATCAAGGACTTCGCAAATCACTTGCTCTGCTCCTGAAAGCTGAACAATGAATAAAGATGACAGAAGAAAAAAAATTATGTCTTTGAGCAGTGGTGTTGGACAAGAGAACTGAATAGCCCATGGGTTGTCAAAAGAACAAACAGATATAACCAGAGCACTCCTTAAAGACAAGGATGTCCAAGCTTCATCTTAGATACTTTGGGCATACTTATAAGAGAGGTTATTCCTTGGAAAGAGGGAATGCTTGAAGAAGAGGAGAATCCTTGAAAGAGAGGAAGACCCACATTGAGATGGATTGATACAAGGACTGCAGCAGTGGGCTCGAATGTGTCAAAGATTAAGAGGATGGCACAGGATAGGATAGGTTTCTGATTTGTTGTTCATAGAGACACATCATGGTAGATGAAGAAAAGTTTGAAATTGTCAATGAGTTTATTGTACTTAGATCTACAATTAACCCCTTGGTGCCAGCACTCAAGAAATAAAAAAACATGTTGCATTGGGAAAGTTTGCTCTCAAGGATGTCTCCAAAATATTGTTGTGTGCTGTTGAATCAGAACCAACTCATAGCTGACCCTCAGAGGGCTTTCAGAGGCTATAAATCACTTGGTCTTTCAATATGGATTGCATCTCAGTGTCAAGAAAACAGAAATCCTCGCCACTGGATCAGTAGGCAACATCATGATAATTGGGTGTGGGGTTTTTTCCCCTCCACGATCACTTTTTATGCTTCTGAGAGCTGGATGGACAATAAATAACAATGACAGAAGAATACTTGAGCCCTTAAACTGTGTTGTTGGAAAAGAGTATTGAATATTCCACAGACCACAAAAATAACAAACATTTTGGAGAATGTGCAGCCAGAGTGCTCCTAGGAGGCAAGGATTGCAAAGCTTCATCTTGAATACTTTGGGCATATTTCTAGCAAAGGTTACTCCTTGGAGAAGGACATCACGCTTGGAAAGGTGGTGGAACAGCGAAGGAGAGGAAGCCTCTCAACCTGGTGGATTAATACAGTGACTACAGCAGTGGGCTTGAGTGTGTCAGAGATTGTGCGATTGGCACAAGATAGGATAGGATCTGTTGCTCATCAGATCCCTAAAAGTCATATTAGACTCAATGCCACCTAACAACAACAAATCACACAGGAGAAGATTGTACATCCTTCTCTAGCAGAGCAACTAGGGGATTTGAACACTTGCTTCCCTTTGGGATTGCCATTTTGTACCACTAAGCCATCAGAGCTCTCTAATAATCTCCAAAATATTAAGGAACAAGAAGGTGGGTTTAAAGAATAATACTCCCTACAACCAGGAGAAGATAAAATAGATGAATGGGACCTTCTAAGAATCAAATCCCTATGCACATCCAAAAACTTCTCCAACAGGGTAAAAAGGGAAGCCACAGACTGGGAAAAAGTATTTGGTAACGACACATCAGATAAGGGACTTATATCCAGAGTTTATAAAATACTTGAGCACCACAACAAGATAAAGGTAAATAATCCAATTGAAAAATGGGCACAGGATATGAATAGTCACTTCACCAAAGAAGACATTCAGATGGCCAACAAGCACATGAAGAAATGTTCAAAATCCCTAGCTCTAAGAGAGATGCAGATCAAAACAACTATGAGATATCATCTCACCCCAGTCAGAATAGCAAAATTTAACAGAAGAGCAAGCAACAAATGCTGGCGAGGTTGTGGAGAAACTGGAACCCTTATTCACTGGTGATGGAAGTGTAAAATGGTGCAACCCCTGTGGAAAGCGGTATGGCGCTTTCTCCAAAAGTTGCAAATAGAGATACCATTTGACCCAGCAATTCCATTACTGGGAATATACCACAAAGAAACCATAACTGCACCTAAGCAGATATATGCACACCCATTTTTATCATGCCTTTGTTCACAATAGCAAGGAGTCAACAAACGAATAGATAGAGAAGCTGTGGTATATTCACACAATGGAATACTATGCTGCATTGAAAAACAAGGAACTCATGCAATATTATTCAAAATGGGTGACCCTGGAGGACATTATGTTGAGTGAAGTATCACAGTCACAAAAGGACAAATACTGCATGGTGCCACTGTTGTCAATAAAGTAGGACTGGCATCGGGGTTGGGGGGAGACTGAGAAAGATGGGTTAAATAATATATACTGCATTGAAACAGATGGGGGAGAAAACTGTTTAAAAGGGTTATGTGATTAGGTATTTTTGTCATGACAGGAGTCCAGAGTGAAGACTACATAGTGGAGTGGACCTGGGGGAGGGATTGTAAAACAATGAAAGAATTTTTCTTTTACTTTTCCAAGAAGATAGTGTACTAGGGGGGAGGGTTGGGAGGAGAGGAAAGTGCAACAATGAATGAATGAATGAATGAATGAATGGAAATCCAAAGGCTCTGTAAATTTTCATTGAAATGAATAATAAATTTAAAAAAGAAAAAAAAGAATAATACTCCCTAATATTTTTGTTATTGTTGAATACCATCAAGTCAAAACCAACCCATGGCTGACTTACCCTACAGTGGGTTTTTAGAGGCAGTTAAGAGGAGATTGCCCATTCTTCTCCCATGGAATAGCTCCCTAATACTTTCCAAAATACTAATGTTCCCTAACACTCTCCAAAATACTAAAGAGCATGATGCAAATTTAAATACTAAGATACTTCTGTTTCTGACCATGGTCTTTTCAATCCCTCATTATGCATATGAGAGCTGGACAATGAATAAGGATTACAGAGGAGGAATAATCGATGTCTTTGAACTGTGTTATTGGAGAAAAGAACTGAATATTCCATGGACTGCCAAAAGAACAAACAGATCTGTCTCAGAGAAAGTGCATCCAAAGTGTTCCTTGGAGGCAACAATGTTTTAGCTTTCCCAACATATTTTGCCCATGTGGTTAGGAGGGACTAAAAGGGACATCACGCTTGCAAAGGTGAAGGGCCAGTAAAGGAGAGGAAGATCCTCAACGAGATGGGTTGGCCTAGAAACTGCATCAATGGCCTTAAGTATGTCAGAGATAATGAGAATGCACAGGATAGGATAGGGTTCCAATTTGTTGTTCATAGGGTGACTATGAGTTATATTCAACTCGATGGCACCTAACAATAACAGCAACAACTTTATCTCTACAAGTTAAAAAGTAGATGTGTCCTAATAAATGTCCATAGCTTCTGAATCTTTCAAATGTTGAGATTGGAGAACTACAAACTTCAAACAACACATTTCTGTAGATGTAGTTTAAGCACAGAAGCCAGTAATTTTATTTGCATAAGTAACTTATGAAGTGCTAAATATGTTTCCTTTTTTTGCTTTTTTTTTTTTTCTCACTCCTACTAACCTTACAGCTGGCTGTGGTGATGAAGTTGCTCACTATTTAGATCACCTTCTGGCACATGATGCTGCCCGTTCTAAACTACCCCTTACTGCACAGAAGAGAGGGTTACATCAGTTCCGAGATGCTGTCCAAACAACTTGCAATTTAATGTCTTTGGTGACCAAGGCCAAGGAGCTGCATATACAAAGTGAGTAATGTCGTAACTAACTGAAGTAAGGCTTGGATAACACGAAGATTAAAAAGAGAATGAAGGGTGAGGAATTAATTAAAATGTAGTAGGAATTTTGTTTATTGCTCACGGACAACTTTTTTTGTGTTCATGGACAATGTCTATATCTATAAAATAGCTGTAAAAATAATGATTTTGGTATAATTTGCTATGTATTGTTGCTGTGTGCCATGAAGTCATAATTGACTCCTAGCTGATGCTCCAAAAGGTTTCAGAGGCTATTAATCACAGGAGAGGATATTGCCCATCCTTCTCATGAGAAGCAGCTAGTGGATTAAAACCTCATGCCTTCAGGATTGCAGCACAGCTTCTTATCACTAAGTCACCAGAGTTTTGAGTAGTGTTAATTAATCTGATTTAACCAAGTAACTCATGGGTAAAAGGTAGAAAATTAGACATGACCACATTCACTTATAATATCAATATACTAAAATGATGGAAAGATTATTTTTCCTTTGTAAATTTTGCTCCTTTGAAAGAATTTTGTTTAAAGATAAAGCATTGTAAAAATATTTTTAAATAGCCATATCATGGAGAGAGATATGTGTTGTTGTTGTTTTTGTAATGTGCAATCAAGTTGCTTGTGACTCAGAGTGACACTATGTACAACAGTCCTGAATCCTAGTCTATCTTGAGATAACTTCATTGTCTCTGACACACCTACCCCCATTACCCCAATCACTGAGTCAACCCATCTCATCCAGGATCTTCCTCTCTTGTGCTTCACCTTTCCAAGCATGATGTCCCTCTCCAAGGACTGATTAGTCCTTGCAACATGTCCAAAAAATGTCAGACAGAGTTTCAAAATCCTTCCCTCCAAGGAGCAGCTTGGTTTTACCCTCTCCAGGATGATCCTGTTTGTCCATGGTATATTCAATACTCTTCACCACCACCACAACTCAGAGGCATCAATTCTTCTTCTATCATCCTTAGTCATAGTATAGCTCTCTGATGCATAGCAAGTAATTGTGAAGACCATGGCCTGGATAAAGTGAACCTTACCAAATCAAATAAAATCCACAAGAACTGAAGTTAAACATTGAATCTATCTCTCCTGAATTTAAAGCTCATCTCAGTAACAGATTTGAGGCCATGAATACTAATGAATGAAGACCAGATGAGCTGAGAGAGAGAGAGAGAGATAGTCTCTCTTAAATAACCTACAACTCCTTCCCCAAGGCCAATTGTAATATTTACAGCGTCTGTGGAGCAAGAACTATTATACTAGAGTGCTGAGAAGCCAAAGAAAAGGGAGGAAATCAGAAAAGATCTGGTGTGAAAATTACTGAATATGAACTTTGTAAGTAAACCAGTATAAAATAAAAAAATAAATAAATTTAAAATATAAAAATAACTTAATGAGCTAAATAGAAGATCTCAAACGGCAGCTAGAGAAGACAAAGCAAAGTATTATAATGAAATGTGCAAAGAGCTAGAGTTAGAAAATCAAAGGGGCTGAACTCACTCAGCATTTCTTAAGCTGAAGGAACTAAAGAACAAATTAAATCCATGAATTGCATAAATTAAGAAGCCTGTGGCCAGAATATTGAATGACCGAGGAAGTATTAAAAGAAAATAGAAGGAGTTTACAGAGTTACTGTACCAAAGAACAGAAGAATTTCATGAAACAACATATTATCAAGAGGCAATAGTGATGAAGGTGGAAGTTTATGCTGCTCTGAAGAACTTGGCGAAAAATAAAGCCTAGGAATTGATGGAATACCAATTGACGTATTTCAACAAACAGATGCTGCTCTGGACATGCTCATCAATTTGTGCCAATAAATCTGGAGGACAACTACCTTGCCAACTGACTGGAAGAGATCCATATTTATTCCCATTTCATGAAAAGGGGACCCAACAGAGTGTGGAAATTATCAGACAATATCACTAATATCACACGCAAGCAAAATCCTGCTGAAGATTATCCTAAAATGACTGGAACAGTACATTGATAGAGAACTACCAGAAATAGAAGCTGGGTTTAGGAGAAGTCTTAGCCCTAGAGACATTATTATCAATATGAATGATTTTGGGAAAAAGCAAAGCGTACCAGAGCAATGTCTATCTGTGTTTCATTGACTATGTAAAGGCATTTGACTTTGTGGATCACAACAAATTGTAGCTAACCTAGGGGAGAATGGCAATGTCAGAACACTTGTGTATGCTCATGTGAAATCTATACTCAGACCAGGAAGCCATCCTCAGAACAGAGCAAGGAAACACTGCATGGTTCAAAATCAGGAAAGGAGCATGTCAGGGATGTCTCCATACCTTTTCAATCTATATGCAGAACATATCACTCAGGAGGCTTGATTTTATGAGGATGAATTTGAAATCAGGATTGGAGGAAGACTCCTCAATAATTTGTGTTATGCAAATAAACAGCTTTGCTGAAACTGAGGAGGGACTGAAGCACTTGCTGCAGGTCAAGGACTGTAGTCTTCAATATGGACTGAAGCTCCAACATCCAGAAGACAGAGATTCTCACCACTGGCAATTGGCAGCAACATCATAGATGGAGAAGAAATTGAGGTTGCTAACAATTTCAGCTTGCTTGGCTCCATAATCAACACTCTTGGCATGAACATTCAGGAAATAAAAAGACAAATTCAACTGGGAAAACCTGCTGTCAGGGACCTCTCCAGAGTAGTGAGAAGAAACGATGCCAGTCAAGAGACTCCTGATTCAGGTCTCACCACTGGGTGCTCCTGATCCAGGCCATGGTCTTTGCAATTACTTGTCATGCACTAGAGAGCTGGACAATGACAGAGGAGACAGAAGAATTGATGCCTTTGAGTTGTGGTTCTGGAGAAGTCTTGAATATATGATTGACCACCAAGAAAATAAATAGGTCTGTCTTGGAGAGGATGAAACCAAATTTCTCCTTGGAAGCTAGGATTTTGAAGCTCCCATTCACATACTTTGGGCATGTGGCCAAGAGGGACCAGTCATTGGAGAAAGACATCATGCTTGAAAGGGTAGAGAGACAGCGAAGGAGAGGAAGACCCCAGATGAGGTGGATTGATACAGTAACTGGGGCAATGAAGTAAGGTGTGTCAGAGTCAGTGAGACTGGCTCAGGACAAGGCAGGCTTGAGAACAGTTATACACAGGGTTGCTATGAGTCACAGGAGACTAAATGGCACATAACAACAAGTCTCATTCGTCAATATTCTCCTACCCATGACCACTGCTTGAAAAGATGAAGAGTCAGTGAAAAAGAGGAAGACCCCCAAAGAGCTGGATTGACACAATGACTGCAGCAATGGGCTCAAGTGTGTCAGAGATTATGAAGATGGCATAGGCTAGGGTTCAGATGTGTTGTTCATAGGTTTGTCATGAGTCATACTCAACTCAACAGCAAAAGTTTACAGTGGAAGATATCTACCATTACTCATTGCCAAAAGTAATCACATTTCCTAGGGTTGTTCAATGCCTTTATGGTAGCAATGTATGACCATTGCTAGAGTGTTTGAATGTCAAGATTTTACAAATTATTGAGAAGCATGTTTCTTGCTACCTAAAACTTTATTGGTCATTACTAACCAACTCTTTAAATCATGAACATTGGAAAATATTTAGGAAAGAGAAATTTTAGGATATCCTTGAGTATTCTCCCTTGAGAAGGGACTTATGGGAAAATGCTATTGTTGTTGTTCTTATGTGTCGTCAAGTCAGCTGTGACACATAATGATCCTATGTACAGCAGCTCTGAAGCCTGCCCTGTATCCTGAGCCAGTCTCACTGATTCTGACACATCTATCCTCATTGCCACAGTCACTGTATCAATCCATCTCATCTGGGGTCTTCTTCTCCTGAGTTGTCTCTTCACCCTCCCAAGCATGATGACCTTCTCTAAGGACCGGTCCCTCCTGGTCACATGCCAAAAGCATGTGAGATGGAGCTTCAAATTTCTGTCTTCCAAGAAGAAATCTGGTTTTACCCTCTCCAAGACAGACCTATTTGTTTTCTTGGTAGTCAACGGTATGTTCAAGACTTCTCCAGCACCACAACACAAAGGCATCAATTCTTCTTCTGTCATCCTTAGTCATTGCCTACCTCTCTGATGCATAGCAACTAATTACAAAGACCATAGTCTGGATCAGGCACACCGTAGACTCAGGTGCACCTTAGTCTCTAGACTGAAAATATAAACTTTAATATGGTATTCTTTTACATTGTGAAACATGATAGTAGTTCCAAGATTTGGTGCTTACTTGCTTCAACTGAGTTCTGTGAGTATGAGCTCTGTTTCTTCCTTTCTGTATCTGTAAAAAGAAAACCATGGGAAAGTCTCTCCTCAGATGTTATGGTAAATATCTCAAAAATAGAAGTAAAATCTTAATATCTGATTTGATTCAGCTTGTCATTTTTTATACTATATTATACTGTAATTTATTGTGCTGTAATATATTATTTGATCCCTAGATTAGATCAGCCATTCATTCTTTATCAAGAGAAATTCATCTACTAGCAGACAAATAACTTTCTTAGAAAGTCTAGAAAATATAAAAACTAATTGCATCTTTTTTCTATTTTATGTGATATTCTATCAAAGTATCTTTTACAGCACCATTGTAACAATGATTGCACAAGTATAAGTTAATATCTTATATATAATTAATTTTAAAACTCTACACATACATTTCAAAATTCACTGACTGGACATTCTTTAAGCTATTTAATATGCATATGTCTTTTCTTTAATATTACCAAGAAAGGATAAATTTTTCTGTAAAGAATGGATCCATATGTGCTTTAAGTAGGAAATTGTTATTGTTGAGGTCAACTGTGCATTTTAATAATTACCAAAATGTTCTTTTAAATGTCAACTTCTTGCAGATGTTGACATGTATCTTCCCACAAAGTTATTTCAGGCTTCTCGATCTTCACTCAACTTATTGGACTTGCCCCACCCCTCACAGGAGGATCAGGTAAAATAACACTTGAAAGATTTTTTCACAACTTTTAATAAAACTGCCACCCTTATGGAAAATAATAGAGCTAACCATTATTGTTTCTTTTAGTAATTAGTGAGTGGAGTTTTCCCTTGTTTTGTTGATGAAGTTATATGTTTCTTTTGGTTAACTTTAAAAATTAATAGGTTTTTTTAGCCAAGCATTAAGAAAACTAGAGTGATAATATGACAATTACTGAAAGTATAGTAATTTTTATATAATACTATTAAGCATTTGATTCTGTTGTTTATGAGATTGCTATGAGTTGGAACCAACATAACAGCACCTAACAACAAACAAAATGAGATATATCTTTTTCTTTGCTTTTTATTAGTTTCATAAAATTTCTACAGAAAATATTTAAAAGTTATTTCATTTTTTTGTATGTAAAGCAGTATAAAATAAAATTTAAAAAAATAAAAATATTTGGAGGTGAAAAGATGATTCACTTTAGGGCTTAAAGCTAAACATTTGTAGAATTAATTTCTTTTCTTCCTTTTTCAAACTGAAGGTTCCCTCTGTTCATGTAGAAATACCTCTTCCGAGAGATCCATCTGGGGAAGTAGACTTCAAAGCACTGGTATTACAATTAAAAGAGAGCTCAAACTTACAGGAGCAAGCTGATATTCTCTACATTCTGTATAATATGAAGTAAGTAATGGTTATTATATATCTACTTTAATGTTTATATAGAGAGTATAGCATAGAATACTAGAGAGTACATAGCTTTAGTATCTCACAGATCTTGATTTGAATACATTAGCAACCTACCCACTGAGTAACTTAAAAGTCTCAATTGTCGTCATCTAGAAAATGTGGATTACACTTACAACATTGAATTGTTATACTAATTAAATAAAAGTTTTTAATCTATAAAGCCTCTAATCTAATACCTGGCACATAATAGTTGATCAATAATAGGTGACTATTATTATCTATACTATAAAAGATATTTTCAATCTCAAGCCTACTTCGGGCTCTCAGGCCACCATATCCGTCCTAGAAGAGACTTATCCAGACCTTGGAATTTTCACATTGTCAGCAATGTAAACAGAGACAGTAAGTCACAAAACTTAACAGAAGCTCTGTTTCCAAGATCTTCCCTCAGTAGTGCCTCAAGCAAAAAATCTCTCTCTGAAGTCGATACATGGGTTTTGAACTTACATCCTCCTAAACAAGAGATAGACAACAGCGTGAGAAATCAGTAGAAGGGTGTAGTGCAAGGCATCACAGACATGGCTGGGGAAGGGAGCATTTGACCAAGTAGCTGAGTGTGCAAGGAATGGTGATGTAGCCCGGAAAGAAAAGAGATTTCTGTAAGAGAAGTGTCTTTCATCTGCTAGGTAAAAATGCTTGTCTGTCAGATATTCTTTTAAGACTAAGCATCCAAACTAAGACAGACTAGGAAGAAGGATTGGCCATCCACTTCCAAAATATAGGTGGCCTTTGAAAACCCTATGTACAACAGAGCACACTTAGAATAGACTAACAGATATGGCAATTGAAGCTGAACCCTCAAATTTGGAAACACAAAGGAAGAAAAAGAGCTGTACGAAGACAGTAACAATTGGTACTTGGAATGTGAGATGCATGAATGTAGGAAAACTAGACATTGTAAAGAAATGGAATGCATAAATATTGACATATTGGTTATTAGCAAAATGGGATGGATTGGCATGGGACATTTTGAATACCACAACCATATGATCTATTATGCTGGAGATGAAAAAGTGGAAAAAAAGGGGGGTCACCTTCATAGTTAAAAAGGTCATTTCTAGATCCATCTAGAAATATAATATTGTGACAGGATAATATCCATATGCATACAAGGAAGACCTGTTAATACCACTATCATTCAAATTTATGTGTCTGAAATCAGAGCCAAAGATGAGGAAATAGATGCTTTCTATCAACTGTTGCAGTCAGAAATTGATCGAACATGTAACCAAAATGCATTAATAATAATGGGTGACTGGAATGCAAAAATTGGGAACCAGGAAGAAGGATCAGTAGGTGGAAAATATGGACTTGGTGACATAAATGAGACTGGGGATAGAATGATAGAATTCTGTACAACCAATGATTTATTCATAGCAAATATATTTTATATGAACCATAAATGCAGGCTATATACCTGAATTTCACCTGATGAGATGCACAGGAATGAGATAGATCACATCTGTGGAAGGAATCATTGGAGAAATTCAATATCAGCAGTGAAAACTAGACCAGGTGCGGATTGTGGAACGAACCACCAACTGCACATATGCAAGTTCAAATTAAAACTAAAGAAGGTTAAATCATATCCATAGGAATCAACATTTGGCCTTGAGTCTATGCCCTATGAATTTAAAAACCAACTCAGGAATAGGTTTGAGGCCTTGAACATTAATGAATGAAGACCAGATAAGCTGTGGGAAGATATAAAAAATATCATTCATGAAGAATGCAAAAAGTCGTTACAAAGAAGGAAAAAGAAGAAAAGACCAAAATGAATGTCAGAAGAGACTTTGGATATTGCACTAGAGCATTGAGAAGCCAAAGCAAAGGGAAGACATCAAGAAGTTAAGGAGCTGAATAGAAGATTTCAAAGGGCCTCTCAGGAAAAAAAAGCAAAATATTATAATTAAATGTGCAAGAAGCTGGAGTCGGAAAATCTAAAGGGCTGAACTCACTCAGCATTTCTTAAGTTGAAAGAACTAAAGAATAAATTCAAACCATCAGTTGCAATGCTTAAGGATACTATGGGCAGAATGTTTAATTATTCAGGAAGTATTAAAAGAAGATGGAAGGAGTATACAGTCATTGTACAAAAAAACAGTTGGCTGAAATTGAAGAATATCAAGAACCAAATATGACCAAGAGGCAATGGTGATAAAGGGGTAAGTTTAGGCTGCTCTGAAGGACTTGATAAAAAAATGAAACCCCAGTAATTAATGGAATACCAATTGATATATTTCAGCAAACAGATGCTGCCCTGGATGTGCTCACCAACTTGTGACATGAAATCTGGAGGACAACTACATAGCCAACTGACTGGAAAAGATGCATATTTCTTTCCTTTTTTTAAAAAAAAAAGTTATCTGATAGAGTGTGGAAACTGTCGAACAATGTCACTAATATCACACATAAGCAAAATCTTGCTGAAGATTATAAAAACAATTACTGGAACAGTACATTGACAGAGAACTATCAGAAATACAAGCTGGATTTAGAAGAGGTTGTGGCACTAAGGACATTATTGCCAATATCAGATGGATCTTGGCAGAAATCAGAGAGCACCAGAAGAATGTATATCTGTGTTTCTTTGACTAGGCAAAGACATTTGACTGTGTGGATAACAACAAATTGCAGTTAACCTTGAGGAAAATGGGAATCCAGAACACTTGATTGTGTTTATGTGAAACCTATACTCAGATCAGGAAGCAGTCCTCAGAACAGAGCAGGGAAACACTGCATGGTTCAAAATCAGGACAGGAGTGTGTCACAGATGCATCCTGTCTCCAAATCTTGTCAATCTATATGCAGACCAGATCATTCATGAAGCAGGGCTTTATAAGGAGGAATGTGGCATCAAGATTGGAGGAAGACTCATCAGCAACCTATGTTATGTATATGACATTACCACATTTTCTGAAACTGAGGTGGACCTGAAGCATTTGCTGCAGAAGGTCAAGGATTGTAATATTCAATATGGATTGAAGCTCAACATCAGGAACACAAAGATTCTCACCACTGGGCCAATTGGCAGCACCATGACAGATGGAGAAGAGATTGAGGTTGTTAACAATTGCAGTTTGCTTGAATTGCATTGAGAAAAATCTGAGTGCTAAAATACAGCGATGTCAGTCTAATGACAAATGTGTGCCTAATTCAGGCCATAGTCTTCTCAATTACTTGGACAATAACTAAGGATGAAAGAAGAATAGATGCCTTTGAGCTGTGGTGCTGGAGAAGAGTCTTGAACGTACCATGGACTGCCAAGAAAATAAATTTATCTGTCTTGAAGAGGGTGAAACCAAGTATCTCCTTGGAGGCTACGATTTTGAAGCTCCATCTCACATACTTTGGGCACATGGTCAGTAGAGACTGGTCTTTGGAGAAGGACATCATGCTTGGAAGGGAGGACGGACAACACAAGAGACTACGACACCAAATGAGTTAGATTGATATGGTATCTGCAGCAATAAAGGTTGGTGTGTCAAAATTAGTGAGACTGGCTTAGGACAGGGAAGGGTTCAGAGCTGCTGTACATAGGGTGGCTACACATTGCAGGAGACTCAACAGCACATAACAACAACATACTATAACATAACTATACAACGTAACTATACTCCTAGTTAGAGTTAACAAGACTTCGGGGAGGGCCTTTGTATTTAAAGTTGGTTGTTATTAGATTTTGGAGGAATATTCTTCTAAGTGGTACAGCACTCTTCTGTCAATTTGCTGTACTGAAGTAACTGTGATGCTGAACCTTATGCCATTGGGGTGTCGGATGCCATAATAGTTACTCATGGTGGACAGTGTTTGGTGGAGCTTCCAGTTTAAGACAGGTTTGGAAGCAGAAGTGGCATCCACTTCCTAAACAACATACCTCTGGAAACGATGAACTTTGATAAATGTCGATAGTTATAGAAAGGTTTCAGGCCTTTTGTTTGTAGGGTCACTATGAGTCGTGCTCAACTCAACAGCAATCAACAACATAATCATTATTGGGAAAAAACCTCTAATTTGTGTTCAGTCGATTTCAATTCATTTGGTACAGAATAGAAATGCTGTGTAAGAAAAGGGGATAAGTAATGTATACTGCATTGAAACAGATGAGGGAGAGAACTGTTTGAAAGGAATATATAATTGGGTATTATTTTCATGACAAGAGTCCAGAATGAGAGCTTCATGAGGAAGTGCACTCGTGGGGAGGGGTGGAATTGTATAGTAATGACAGGTTTTTTGTTTTTATTTTTTTACTTTTCAAAGAGAAAAAACAACTGGGGGAGGGGTGGACAGGGGGGAAAATGTGCAACAATGAATGAATGGTAATCCAAAGTCTCTATAAAATTTCATTAAAATTTCAATTAAAAATTTTTTCTTGACTATAATCTATTTTTAAGCATCCCATATTGGTTTTGGGTTTTTATTGAACTGAATATAATCATTCATATACAATGCGTTTTGTATATGTACTTTGTGTTTTATATAATCATTCATATGTATTATATCCTATACAACCACCTTTGCTCTATGTTTTTCATCATCCCATATTTTCAAATCCCCACTGAAAATTTCTCAATCCTTCACTACCCCCTCTTCACCCAACATCCTCTGCTATTCCAGGGATTTTCCCTTCATCCCCTTTTCTTGCCCCTCCTTCTCCCTTTCCCCTTTGCTTTTGTGAACATTTACACATTATCTTGCTCAGTTATCCTTCTATTGTAACAATAGTGGTCTTAAGCAATATTAGTCCTTATGTGACTGAGATATTTCACTCAATATAATACTCTCCAATCTTTCCCAAGTTGTATTTTATTACTATAATCTTTATAGTAACAAATCAACAGGCTTTTTTTCTACACCACCACTGAGTGTGTTCAAACTGCCTATCTTTAGGTTAGAAACTGACTACAAAACATTTGTACCCACCATTACACTTC